CCTTTCCAAAACATGAGAAAGATATAAATATCCAGGTATGGGAAGGTTTGAGAACACCAAATAGATTCAACCCAAATAAGACTACCCCAAGGTATATAATAATCAAACTCAAAGGTCAGAGACAAAGAGAAGATCCCAAAGGCAGCAACAGAAAGCAAATAAGATACAACGGAGTTCCAATTCATCTGGTAACCAACTTCTCAATGGAAACCACATAGGCCAAGAGGAAGTGGAATAACATTTTCAAAGTACTTAAGGAAAAAAAAATGCCATCCATAATACTACATCCAGAAAAATTATCCTTCAAATATGAAAAACAGATAAAGTCTTTCTCAGACAAACAAAAGCTGAGAGAATTCAGCACCACAAGAACAATTTTTCAAGAAGTACTAAAGAGAGTCTTTAATCTGAAAGAAAAAAACATTAATGTGCAAAAGGAAAACTTTTCAAGCTATAAATCCTGCTGCTAAAATTAAATATACAGACAAACCCAGAATTTGCTTTAACTTTGGTGTACAATCAATTCCAACTCTAGTACAAAGCCCAAAATACAAATCTATCAAAAAACAATGATAGCTATAGCAACCTGTTAAGAGATATATAATATAAAAATACGTAAATTGAGACAACTAAAAGTCCAAATGTCAGGGGAGTTGAGTTAAAATGTAGATTTTTGGCCTGGTGTGGTGGCACATGACTGTAATCCCAGCACTTTGGGATGCCAAGGTGGGTAGATCATGAGGTCAAGAGATAGACGATCCTGGCCAACATGGTGAAACCCCATCTCTACTAAAAACACAAAAGTTAGCTGGGCATGTGGCACATGCCTGTAGTCCTAGCTACTCACAAGGCTGAGACAGAAGAATCGCTTGAACCCGGGAGGCGGAGATTGCAGTGAGCTGAGATTGCACCACTGCACTCCAGCCTGGTGACAGAGGAAGACTCTGTCTTTTAAAAAAAAAGTAGATTTTTTTTGTGTTCCTTTTTGACCTTTGTTTCTATTCTTTAATTTGTGATAAGTTATCATCTCTTTTAAAGTAACTTGCTATATCTATAAAATGTTTTTTTCTAACATTTATGGTAACCACAGTGCAAAAACCTATAATAGATTCACTAAAAATATAAACAACTGATCAAAACATACTATCAGAGAAAATCACTTAACCACAAAAGAAGATAGTAAGAAAGGAATAAATGAAGGGAGGTCTTATAACAACCAGAAATCAGGCAACACATTGACATTAGTAAGTCCTCAATTTTCAATAATAAAACAGAATGTAAATGGTCTCAATTCTCCAAGTAAAAGGCATAGAATGGTTAAATGGATAAAGAAACAAGACCCAACTATATGCTGCCTTCAAGAAACCCACTTCACCTATAAAGACAGACTGAAAGTGAGGGGTGGAAAAAAAAATATTCTGTGCAACTGGAAATCAAAATACAGCAGGAATAGCTAGGCTTATATCACGTAGACTACAAATTTAAGATTATAAAAAGAGACAAAGGAGGTCACTATATAATGATAAGGGAGTCTATTAAGCAAGAGGATATAACAATTATAAATATCTATGCACTCAGCACTGGAGCTCCCAAGTATTTAACACAAACATGAATAGAGAGATATATACTGAAATACAATAGTAGTAGGGGACTTTAACAACCCACTCTCAACAATGGACAGCTCATCCAGACAGAAAATCAACAAAAAAACAGAGGAGTTAAACTACATACTAGATCTAATAAGCCTAGCTGACATTTATAGAACATTTTACCCAACTGCAGCAGAATACGCATGCTTTAGCATATGAACATTCTCCACAACAGACCATATCTTATGCCACAAAACTCATTTGAACAAAATTTAAGAATCCAGAAATCACATCAAGTATCTTTCTCACCGCAATGGAATAAAACTAGCAATCAATAACAAGAGGCAACTCAGATAATACACAAACAATGCAAATGAAACAACATCCTTCTGAACCACCAATGGGTCAATGAAGAAATTAAGAAGGAAATTTCAAAATTTCTTGAAACAAATGAAAATGGAAAGATAACATATCATAATTTATGGGTTAAAGCAAAAGCAGTACTAAGAGGGAAGTTATAGCAATAAACGTCTATATCAAAAAAGCAGAGAGACTACAAATGACCTAATGATGCACTTCAAAGAACTAAAAAAGCAAGAACAAACTAAACTCATTAGCAGAAGGAAAGACATAATAAATATCAGAGCAGAAATAAATAAAATTGAAATTTAAAAAATTAAAGAAGACCAACAAAACAAAAAGTTGGTTTCTTGAAAAGGTAAACAAAATTGACAAACCTTTAGCTAGACTAAGAAAAAGAGGGAAGAACCAAATAAATAAAATCAGAAACCAGAAAGAAGATATAGAGATCTCAGAAATATAATGAATCATTAGAAACTATTAGGAACAAGAATACAACAAGAGATTGGAAAATATAGAAGAAATAGATAAATTCCTTGATATATGCAATCTACCAAGATCAAACACCATGAAAAAAAAATACGAAAGCTTGACAAACCAATAATGAGTAACAAGATCAAAGCCATAATAAAAAGTCTCCCATCAAAGAAATGCTCAGGGGGAGAAAAGTCCAAGATAAGACTCACTGGCTTGAAATTCCAGCCAGCTACCATTAAAGGCATTGCACCTCCCTAAGAAGGAGCTCCCAGAGGGGCAGGCCGTATCTTTGCTGTTTAGGTGCCTTAGCCATTCCAGCCTTCAGGCTTTTGAGAGTCTGAACTGACCCATGGTGGAAGGGATACCCCAGCACAACACAGCTGTTCTACCAAAATGTAGACAACTGCTGCTTTAAGCCAGTGCCTGATCCCACTCCTCCTCACTGGGTAGACCCTCCCAACCAAGACCTCTAGCCACCCCTACCCAAGCTCTCCAGCTGACAGAGATCTCAATTCCCCCTGGGATAGCTCTCCCAAAGGGAGGGGCAGGCTGTCATCTTTGCTGTTATGGTGACTTAGCTGTTCCAGCATTTATTTAGGCTTTCGACAGTCTAAGCCAACCCAGAGTGGAAGGAATCCTCCAGCACAGTACAGCTGCTCTACCAAAATGTGGCCAGACTGCTGCTTTAAGCAGGTACCTAATTCTGTTCCTCCTCATCAGGCAGGACCTCCCAACCTGGGCCTCCAGTCACCTCTGTCCATGTTCTCTAACCAACAGAGATGTGAATTTCCTCTGGGATGATGCTCCCAGAGGGAGGAGCAGTCTGCCATCTTTGCTGTTATGGTGACAGCCATTTCGGCTAAGTCTATTTATTTAGATAAATCCCATAATTTGGTTTTTGGAGTGTTTGAGGTGACTGGAGGCAGAAGTGGACCCCTAGCACAGCACAGCTGCTCTACCAAAACATGGCCCAGACTGCTTTTTTCCTGATCCCATTCCTTCTCATGAGGCTGGAACTCCCAACTGGAGTCTCCAGTCATTTCCTACAGATGCCTTTGGGCAGGCAACAGATTCATGACTCCCTGGGACAAAGCTCCCAGAGACAGAGGCAGGCTGCTATTTTTGCTGTTTCACAGCCTTCACTGGTGACACCGCCAGGTTCCAGAAAATATGAGGTGACTAGGGACTGCAGCGGTCCCCTAGCATACCACAGCAGCCCTATGAAAAAGTGGCCAGACTGTTATGTGGGTGCCTGTCCCCGTATCTCCTCACTGGATAGGTCCTCCAGGCCTGGGCCTCAAGCTATCACCCACCTGCCCCCAACCAGAGCTAAGGAGCCACTCCCCAGACAGAGCAACTCCCCGGACAGAGCCTCCCAGGGCAACAAAAAATTATTCTTTTGGAAAATTTTATAAAAACAATTTTTTTCACTTAAAGTCCTCAGTGGGTTTCCTACAATAGATAATGCAATCATTTCCCAGCCAATTCCTCATTGTTTCCCCTCAAATACAAATGCTATGTAAAAGAAAACATGAATAATTCTACAACACAGCCTATTTCTTGGCTACTAGAGGGAGGTATACCATAAATGCCCACTTACAATGTCTTTTGCACACATGTGCAAAGAGTTAATGTATCATCAGATAAATCTCATAATAGAAATAAAATTGTCATAGAATTCATATAAACATTTAAAATATATATATTATGCTACCATAATAAACATCTGAAAATTAATTTCTGAAGTCAACTGAATCAAATTAATGTCTTGGTAACTTATCTGATAGTTGGCCATAACTGTATCACATAATGACATGGCACAAAAAGGCAGTGATAATGTTCAAATATAAGTACTTTGGTTCTGAGATGTTACCTGTATACCAAGAACAATGAAGGTACTTATCAGTGGTCATTCAAAAGCCCTTAACTCACTGCTTCTCTGAGAAATATAGGACATGTTAAATTCATGTCATTTCTTCAGGCACCTCCAAGTTCCTCTCCAGTTATTCCTTACATATATCCTACATACAATCATATTTAAGTCACCTAATACATGGAAAATGCTTTTGGCAATGCTTGGCACACAGTAGTCACTAAGTATTTATTGTTATCATTATCATTATTACTTCATGTCTTACAAACTTTGTATGTCACATGCCCTGCAGAGATTTTAAAGTGTGATTTGCTTTAGCAAGTTCAACCCAGTGCTCCCAGGGGAGAGAAAGTCTAATATGTAAAACATTTCTATATTACATTGTTCTTATTTAGGACAAAACAGACAGATCACCTAAGAAGTTATCAAAGTGATAAAAAACAGGTGAGGGGAAGGAAGGCAGCAAACCACACTACCATGTGTGTACCTATGCAACAATCTTGCATGTTCTACACATGTACCCCCAAACCTAAAATGCAATAAAAAAAAGATTTGTTGGGGTTATCTTTAGATAAATATCTCTAAGCTATTACCTGAAATAAATGTTGGGAACAAATTAAAAGTAATATTTGATAACTGATAAAACAGTCCTATCCTCACACTGCATTTCCTTCACACTGTGGCAATCCATTGTAACATTATTAAAGTATTTCAATATATATTTTATTTTTAGAATAACGAATCTAATATTCTGTAATATCTTTTGGTTTGTTATATATCATTCATACATCACTCATTCCATTCACTTAAAGCATCATCTTCACCAGGCATTTCTGTTGGTGATTGGTCAAGAGAAGTTGAATCTTTGTATCTCACAGAACTCTGCTCGGATTGTACCTCAGGCGTTAAGATTTTTGCCCCCCAGAAAGACTTGACTGCTTCCCTGGAAGAAGAAACAAAAACCAAAAGCACTATATGAAGTGAAAACTAAAACTTAAAAATAGATTTCTATATTTTCTATGTATAGAAATATATGTGTGTGTTTGTGTGTGTGTGTATACCTGTATGTACATATTATATTTATGGTACAAATATATATACAAGTACAAATATATATGACCTGTATATGTATTTGTACCTATATATATATATATATTACAGGCACATTACATTACAGGTACATTGCATTTATATTATAAAGGAAAGAAAAATAATATAAACATATCTATGACTACTGAACTGTATACTTTAAAATGGTAAAAATGATAAATTTTATATTCAAATTTTACCTCAATAAAGAATAGAGTTTTTAAAAATCATAATGATAAAAATTACTATTTAAAATGATAAGGTTACATGGCCATACCTACTCAGGAAAAAGAATTGGAAGGCTGATTTTAAAAAACACTTTTACAGGGGTTGGGGGGTCTGGGACATAATCCAAAAATAATTTTTTTATGAAAACAACTGTTTCTGCTTAAAGTCTCGGTGGATTTTCTATAATACATAACAAAATCATTTTCCAGCCAATTCATTGTGATGATGCATCCAGCTGATGCATCACAAACTAAAAATGAATAATGAATAAAAAGGTACTTCTTAAAGAAGAGATAATATATAACATATATGTACATATATTGTATAATATTATATATGTATATATAGTATATATGTATTACATATGTATATATGGTGTATATATTATACATTTAAATATAGTATATATACTATACATATACAGGTAATATATGTGTACTATATATGTATATTTAATATATAGGTGTATATAATATACAGGTTATATATGTATTACATGTACATGCATGTAAATATATATTACCTCTTTAGTGTTTTAGTCTGTGATGCATATATATTACATATATGTATCATATATGTATACAATACATACATATTTGTATATATACATAATACACATATATGTATGTATACCTATATGGTACAAATATATATTTGAATATATAGTACAAATATGCATACATAATATATATGATGATATTTATAATAGTTACATGAGTATTACACCCTGGTAAGTCTGAGGGCTTATATACATACATATTACATACATATGAGATGCATATGCAATCATATGTAATATATATGCATCACAAACTAAAAGTAATGAATAAAAGGGCACTTCTTAGATAAAAGGTAATATATATAATATGTTATATATACATATATGTACATATTATATAACCCACATATTATATACACATGTATTATACATTATATATATAGTATATACATATTTAGTACATATATACGACCTATATATATATGCAATATTTGTATATATAATACAGTAATACTGTACAATAATTTACATATACATTTAAAATATGTATGTATAAAATAAAAATATATAAAACATATATATTATCGCTTCTCTAAGAAGTGCCTTTGTATTCATTATTCATTTTTAGTTTGTGATGCATCAGCTACAAATCAGTAATGAATACAAAGACTTACCAGGGTGTAATATTCATGTAGGTATTACAAATATTGTCATACAAATGAATTAGTAAGTTACAATAACCAAGTTTTAGAATTGAGAGAACCACAACTGGACAATATAAATTTCATTAAATAAAACTTTTTAAAGCAATTAACATGTAAAATTATAAAAATTGCATTTAACAGCTCTCTCATGGCTGGAGAAGCAAGTCATAAGATTGTTTTTAAAAGCATCTACATAAAGAGATGGGGTAGCCTGAACTAGGGCAGTCACAGGAGTAATGAAAGGAGATGGACAGTTTCAAGACAACATGTAGGAGGCATCCTGGACAGGGCTTTGCAATTCACAAGATGAGGAGGGGGGATGAAGAGGAGGATGTCAATCAAGGGTGATGAAACATTCTGCCATTCACCTACCAATTTACAATTATGAAGATCAATATAAAGATTACAAATACACAGATAACGACTCCTATGGTCAATACGAAAACTAAGATTGCGTCAGTGTCTGGTCGGCTTGATCTTCTCATCTGCAATTCTAGAGAAAACACACAAATCTAATGATTATCACTACTGAGGAAAAGGAAATGGGTATTTAAATTAAAACTTTATATTTGAAAAACAAGTGTAGAAAAATACAGAAATACTTAGTGGAGAGAAAATTATTAATGATCTTGCTCTTCACGTTTGGAATGTCCTTTTCAAACATGCAAAAAAGTTCAAAGAATTTGACAATGAACAGCCTATGTTACCACCATCTAAATACTACCATTAACATTTTACAGTTCATCTACCCATCCTTCTATTAATTCATTAATCCATCTTACTTTTGATGCATTTTAATATAATTTGCAAATGTCAGTGTGCTTCCGACCAAATTTTTCAGCAAGCATATCATTAACTGAGTTTTTCAGTTTTTTCTTTCAAGTAAAATTTTCATGCAACAAATTGCACAAAGATCTTAAACGTACATTTGCTAGGTTTTGACAAAGGCAAACTCATATATGTAACTAAATGCTAGCCAATATATAGAATATTACTATACCCCAGAAAGCTCCCTTGAACCTCTTCCTAATAAACCCCTTCCTCATCCTCCAGAGGCAACAAGTATCCTGACATTGTCTTCCACCATAGATTAGCACTGACTCTTCTAGAACTACATATAAATGGAAACACACAGTAGGTAATCTCTTGTGTAAGGATTTGTTTACTCAGAATAATATTTTAGAAATTCACCCCTACTGTTAAATGCAACTATCCTTTTTTTATTATTAGGTATACTCTACAATTCATTGACTCATCCTCCTACTGATGGATACCTAGGCTGTTCCAGTTACGAGATATTATAAATAAAGCTTCCATGAACATTCTTATACAAGTCATTTTGTAAATATATCTACCTTAATTTTTGGCTAAATATCTAAGAATCTGAGTGTGTTTAGCTTTGTGTGTTTAGCTTTCTAAGAAACCATGAGAACTTTCTCAAACTGATTGTACTGACTGTACATGTTTTATAAATGTTTTGTATAAGATTTTGGCTTGCCTATTCATTATCCTAATGATTTCTGTTAGTAAGCTGAAGTTTTTCATTTTGATGAAGTCTGACTTATTCAATGTTTCATTTTATGGTGATTGTTTTCTGAATTATGTCTAAGACACATTTGCCTACTCCTGAATCATGCAAATATTCTCCTATATTTCTTTCCTAAAGCTTTATGGGTTTAGCCTTTACATTTAGGACTATGATACTTCTCTAATTTTTATATATGGTATAAGGAAGGAATTGAAGCTCATTGTTTTCCATACACATATCTACACACCTCTCTCTCTCTCTCTCTCTCTCTCTCTCTCTCTCTCTCTCTCTCCCTCTCTCTCTCTCTCTCCCCCCTTAGAAATGGGGTCTTTCTATATTGCCCAGGCTGGCCTTAAACTCCTGGGCTTAAGTGATCCTCCCACCTAAGCTAGGATCCAAAGTAGCTAGGATTACAGGCACACACCACTGCACCCAGCTCACACACCACTCTTACATCAAGCATTATCTCCCATAACTCTCTGCTCTTTCAGCAAATAAGGTTATTAAAGAGACAAAGCCAATCTACCATGTGTATTATAGTATTGCTATATTGTAAACTGGTAAAAAGAAAATTAATGTAAAATATTACTTACTTTGTGAATTATATAGCTTTATTGTAACTCTTTTATGTCCCCAAATTCTGGAATCATAAAAGATTCATGGAAGAAAGAACTATAGAGATCATCTGATTCAACCATTGCATTATACAGATAAGTAAACCAAGGTCCAAAGAGGTTTAATTTGTACAAGCTATATTTTGACTATTTAAATATTTTGATTTTTATAAGTATCACTCTGTCACAGTAGTCTTCTATATGAGCAATCTCAACTGCTTATTTTTCTGGATTTGTTTCCCTATCCATTAGATATCATGGATTATAACTTTCCATTCTGCCTAGTAATTACAGAGGTATAAACTCAAGTAAGGGATCTTGCTGAATAGTTCCAACTATGCTAGAGAAATTCCATATATAATTATTTTCCAACGTTGTTGGATTTTTAGAAATTTTTTATTTCAAAATAACTTTAGATTTACAAACTTAAATAAAAGACACTTTTAAGAACTGAAACCTAACAAGAAGTGCAAAATTCATTTGTCCATTACTCTGCAACGTTAGCTGAGAGAAGGTAGAGAATGAGGAGCATGAAGATTTCATTTATTACAACAGTAATCTTGCAAGGGTCACCTAGACTATTTTTATAGGGAGCACTACACACTGTGGTCTGTTGGGGGGAAATAGGGGAGGGACAGCGGGGGGTGGGGAGTTGGAGAGAGATAGCATGGGGAGAAATGCCAGATATAGGTGAAGGGGAGGAAGGCAGCAAATCACACTGCCACGTGTGTGCCTATGCAACAATCTTGCATGTTCTTCACCTGTACCCCAAAACCTAAAATGCAATTTAAAAAAATAAAAAATAGGCTCAATTTCCTATGGAAATATTTAATAAAAAATAGGCTAAATTTGATGCTTTCACTATTTAGATAACCTAGGCTTATGTACTTATTAGTTTCTTAGGACCACCATAACAAAGTACCATAAACCGGGTGACTTAAAAACAACAGAAATGTATTGTCTCACAGTTTTGGAGGCTAGAAATCTGAAGACAATGTGTTGGCAGGGCTATGTTGCCACCGAAGGTTCTCGGGGAAAGATCCTTCCTTGCCTCTTACAGCTTCTCAGCTTCTGGTAGGCTCAGACATTCCTTGGCTTATGGTAGCATAACTCCAATTTCTGTCTCCATTTTCACATGGCCATCTTCTCCTTTGTGTCTTTCTATGTCTTCGTCTGGTATTCCCAATCCTCCCGTGTTTGTGTGCGTGTGTGTGTGCATGTGTGTGTGTGTATGTGTGTACACATGAGCATGCCCAAATATTCCTCTTTTTATAAGGGCACCAGTTATATTGGATTAAAGGCCCACTCTGCTCTAGTACAACCACATCTTAACTAAATCTGCAAAAAACCCTATTTCCAAATATTCTCATATCCTGAGTACTTCAAAGTATCTTTTTTAACAATGCCTAATTATGAAAGACAACTATTGTGGGAGTGAAAAATCTGATATTTAAGTGAATGGATGAGAATTTTTCACTAGGGAAACCATATTTACCCTAAAAATATCTCAATTACATATTTGTTTCAAGCTAGTACCGTATTGTGTGGACATTTCTAGCCAAAACATTTGTTTGATTTCTAAACAGCCAAAGGGGTCTGTTGCTGTGGTGTACCCAATTGTCATATTTAAAGCAATTAATAAATACCAGAGTGTTCTAAAAACATTTTGTCAATCAGTGCATGTACTGAGATGGCAGAGCTACCCCACCATTCCTCAACTGCTATGAGAAAGAGAAGTTAAATTTGTCTCAATAAAGGCCTGACATTTTAGGGTCTGTGTTCCAGCCTTTAAAATATACACTACCAAATACATGCTGTCTTCTAATTATGAGAGGAGCTAACCACTGAATTGCCCTAACAGGAACCAAATAGTAGGGACAAAGACCGAGAATGGCTCCACACACTTTTAATATCATGAACGAGGGCTAGTAGAGACATATTTTAGTCAGATGATGTTTTTATTCTCTTGCCTTTTTTAGAGCTTTATTGAAAATTATTCTTTTAATGATATCTGATATCCCAATAGAGGAGTAAGATTATTAGCTTTCACCATGAAGATGTTTCTAAACTCATTAAAGAGCATATCAAAGAAAGTTTAAATAGCAGTTTATTCCTTTAAATCACCCTAAAACACTTCAACCTGTTTTCGTTTCAATAAAATGTGTTATATCGTGTAGTATCTCTAGACTACAGCAGAAATTCTTTACTTTGGGTTCAGAAATAGCTTCAAGAAATCCAAACACTTTTTAAAAATTACATGTAACTTTTAGCATATTTGTATATGTGGACATTTTTCTGGAAAAAGGATCCTGAGCCTTGATAGGATTCTCAAAAGAACTTGTGACCAAGTCCCCACATCCTTAACAACAAAGATGTTGTTAAGGATAACAACATAACAATCAAAACGGTTAAGAGCAACACAACAAAAGGGAATACTTACCTGGATTTGCAATCCATCACAGATTAAATTGCAGATATGCAAATGGATCTATTTCACAAAGGAAATATGGTTTCTAATATGTAAAATTACATTCAGGACAATATTTTAATTTTGTGATATACATATTTTTTGAGAACCATATTATTGCTTCATCAAAAAACATTTGCTTTGGCCAGATGTGGTGGCTCATGCCTGTAATTCCAGCACTCTGGGAGGCCAAGGAGGGCAGATCACAAGGTCAAGAGATCGAGCCCATCCTGGTCAACATGATGAAACCCTGTCTCTACTAAAACATAAAAAAGGAGCTAGGCATGGTGGCAGGTGCCTGTAGTCCCAGCTACTTGGGAGGCTGAGGCAGGGGAATTGTTTGAACCTGGGAGGCAGAGCTTGCAGCGAACTGAGATTGTGCCACTGTACTCTAGCCTGGCGACAGAGTCAGACTCCATCTCAAAAACGAACAAAAAATATGCTTCAAATATGCAATGCTTAAAGAGACATCTTTGACATTTCTTAATTTATTTTACTGAATCAAAATTTTCATAAGCATCCATGAGAATTCCATTTATCCATTTTCACTTTTATAATGAAAGTAAAAGATAGAATATAATTCAAGTTAGAGGACTGTTCTTTGAAGATACTTAAGAAATATACCAGTTTCCTAAAGTGAGGCACTTGTGACTACTTTGTGAAAAAGAAATTAAGACCTTTGTAGAAAGGTCTAAATGATGTAAACCAGTGGTTCTCAAAGTGTAGTCTCTGGATCAGCAGCAACAGCATTACCTGAGAACTTGTTAGAAATGGAAATTCCTGTTCCAGTCCCATCCCAGATCTACTGAATCAGAAACTAGGGCTAGAGATTGGTGTTTTAACCCTCCGAGTGATTTTTATGATCTTTACAGTCTGGCATATAAGCAAACCAAGACACTGCTGGGCACTTACCATTACTTGTATAGACTGTGAATTTAATAGTTGCTACTATTTCATTATTATCCAGGGTGTCACACTCAAAAGCCAAGGGGTGATTTTCCCTGCGTACTTCTAGGATTGCTGAATCATTTTCAAGTACAATAGATTGCTATTTAAAAAGAAAAAAATAAAAAAGTATCAACATTCTTCATGTACACTCACCAGGAAACAATTTATTTCCCTTAAGGAAAGGAGGGCTACTTAGCCTAGTTTAGTAATTAATAATCTACATGGATTTTCAGTCAGACAGTCCAGACTTCAAATCCCAACCCTACCACTTCCTGCCTGTGTAACTGTGGACAAGTTACTCACTGCACCTCAGTTACTTACTTGTAAAAATGGATATAATGATAGTGATTACCTCATGAAATTGCTATATAGATTAAAAAAGGCTCTAGCACTCAGTGTCACGTCTGGCACTTAATAAACCCTTAATTAACGTGACCCACTGTTATCACTATACAACTCCTATATAAACTAATAAAAATCTTGCTTCCAAAATGGAATACTTTGTATAAAATGGACGTCTTAAAGTTCTGATTACAGCTGGCCCTTGGACATATGTAAAGTCTTAGTCCTGCTAAATAATGAAAAATTTTAAATTCCAAAATAATAAAATTGTATAATTCTTAACTTCATTTTGGCAAACTGCTTTCAAAAAGAAAGTTTTCTGAAAGCCATCAGAATTGAGAAGCAAATTTTATTACTCACTATAAAGCACAAGATTACATCCATTCATTACTCACTTGGTCTGGCCTTAGAAGTTTCCACATATATCTGAAACGATTTACAGGAGATGTGTGTATACATGCCAGTTTAACACTTCCAAGACTTTCTGAAATTGGCTTACCCCCTGAAAAAAATTAAATACAGAAATATGATTGGGCCATTATAAATTGCTTTATACACGATACTCTTTTTTTTTTTTGAGACAGGGTGTGGTTTTATTGCCCAGGCTGGAGTGCAGTGTGCAGTGGCATGATCTTGGCTCACTGTAACCTCTGCCTTCTAGGCTCAATCCATCCTCCCACATCTGCCTCCCAAGTGGCTGGGACTATAGGTACATGCCACCATTCCTGGCTAATTTAAAAAAAAATTTTTTTTTTTTTTAGAGATGGGGTTTTACCATGTTACCCAGGCTGGCCTCAAACTCCTGAGCTCGAGTGATCCTCCTGCCTTGGCCTCCCAAAGTGCTAAGATTACAGCTGTCACAATACTACTTTAAAAAGCCACCTCCAGTTTTAAAAATCAACTATCTGCCGGAAGTTATCAAACTTATAATTGGGAGTTTGAGTGTAGAGGAACAGAGGACTGATGGATGCAAAGATAAAGCCACCAAAAGGAGCATGTAAGGAGACACCAGGGCTCTCTACTCTTTATGCAGAATAAGGTGTAAAGAATAAACAAGGGCAATCGACTTAGTGATCTGTTAGACTAAACTATGATATCTATTGATGGCTTCCAATATACTGGTTAGGGACTCCCAATAGAGATACCAAAATTTCAGAACAGTGTAATTTGATATAGAACAGCTTTCAAAGTTCTCAATTTAAAGTTTACCAATCTACTGATAAAATGCCATGACCAAAGAGTCAAAAAGCATTTCAACACAAGATAGCCTCAACTCCAGACCCTATATACAGTAAGGCTCCAGTGTATTACAGAGAATATATGTTAAATTTTAGAAATCTCTGAAAAAATGTAAAGCAAAATCAGAAAGTTACTCAGAACTATAACTGTTTAAAAAATTGGAATTTTAAATTTTATGATTTCCTTTCAGTATGCCAACTGGTTGCCTCCTTCTATTCAGTGGCAATCTGAGGTGAAAAATATTTTCACAGAGTAAACTCTTCCCCACTGCTTCCCTCCAATACATAATTCAACTCACAGCCACAATCTATTGGTCCACGGCATTCTTCTACCCGTACAATACACTTGGATTCACCACCAGGGCATCCATTTGTTAATAAAACTTCTCTAATGCCAATACCTTTGGTTAAAAAAAAAAAGGCAAATGTTAAGAGAAAAACTAATTCCAGAGTCCCTTCACTTTCCCACCTAGGTCTTTTCTTGAGATTTTTCTTCTAATTTCAGAAATTAAGTTCCTAAATTCAGAATGAGAATACTTAAAATTTTGTTGGCTCTTCATTTTGAATTATTTCCTAAAACAGCATTTTCTGGTGTGTTACATGAAACACTAGTTCCTCCGGTTACCATAAAAAAAAGGATTCCAGGATCATACACATTTGAAAATGGTACATTAAATAAAATTAAAGAAACTGCTTTACTACAGAATTTTGGGGGAACTTTTAATATGTTAGCAAATTAATATGCTATTGTGTACATTTTCATTGATCTAAGATGTAAAATTTTTACATTTTAACATCTTTTAAATCAGAATACATTTTATACATTTGATAACATTTCATAAATTAATCAGCAGTATTTTTCCTTTATAGACTACATAAAGTGTAAGTCTATAAAGTCTTGGATTTGATGAAATACAGTGGTATACAATCACAAATTTATTTGACCATGTAACTTTTTGGGGAAGCATGAAGGGAGCTTCTGGAGGAAAATTAAAAATTGCACTTTACCATAAATGGTGCTGTTAAATATTTAGATTGGTAAAATGTCTGCATTAAATATAGAGGAGAAAACCTATTAATGACCAAATATCCATTTCCAACAAGATGCTCTCTTTAGATTGTCATGCTTTTTTTGTAACAAGAAATTAATTTTCCTAACTGATCTCAGAATTCCAGAAAATGCCTCCCATCACCAGATTGAGAGAAATAACAAAATGCTAGATTAGCTACATGTTGAACCATGTCCCATGTTAAGGCAGGCTAAGAAAGAGTCCGTTTTTACCTCCTTATCTACCAGACTTCCACTTCCGGCCCCTCTAAGATGTTATCTCAGAGGGAAAAGGAAAGTCGATGACTAGAGTTGTTTTATAACTGCTTCTCAAACTTGATGGTGCGTGCAAATCACCTGGAGATCTTACTAAAATGCAAATTTTGATTTAGCTGTTTTTGAATGGGTTTGAGATTCTGCAGTTCTAACAAGCTTCCAGGTGATATTGACGCAGTTTGTGGACCACACTTTGAATAGTAAGGGAGAAGACTCCGCATGAAACAAGAAAATGGAAGGATGGAAGGAAGAAGGTCTTTGGTTAAGACAGATGACTGAGAATGGCTAAAGTATGGCTCCACTTGAATTTATAAAAGATTCTTTTTTTTGAGATGGAGTCTCACTCTGTCACCCAGACTGGAGTGCAGTGGCACGATCTCAACTCATTGCAACCTCTGCCTCCTGGGTTCAAGTGATTCTCCTACTTCAGCTTCCTAAATAGCTGGGATTTACAGGCGTGCACTACCATGCCTGGCTAATTTTTGTATTTTTAGTAGAGATGAGGTTTCACCATGTTGGTCAGGCCGGTCTCAAACTTGGATGACCTTATGATCCACCTGCCTCGGCCTCCCAAAGTGGTGGGATTACAGGCATGAGACACCACACCTGGCCTGAAAGATTCTTTAGAAGCACAGTCTTAATTCTGAAGTGCATAGTGTTTTGTTTGTTTTTGATTTTGTTTTTTGGGAAGAAGTCTTGTACCGTTGCCCTGGCTGAAGAGCAGTGGCGCGATCTCAGCTCACTGCAACCTCTGCCTGAAGTGATTGGCCTCCCAAGTAGCTGGATTACAGGTGCTCACCCCACCATGCCGAGCTAATCTTTTTTTTTTTTTTTTTTTTTTTTTTCGCATTTTTAGTAGAGATGGGTTTTACTATGTTGGTCAGACTGGTCTTGATCTCTTGACTTTGTGATCCACCTGCCTCAGCCTCCCAAAGTGCTGGGATTACAGGCATGAGCCACCGTGCCCAGTGTGCATAAATATTTTTAAAGCAGGTATTTTATGTACTTATTTACTTAGCTAAATACAGTTCACTGAGATGCATGTAGGTGTGAGATTTTCTATAATACCAAGTAACACCTAAAAATCTGCCTGGATATAAAAAAACTTTTTGACTGCTAAAATATTGTTTCAGAAGTTAAACAGTATTTTCATCAAGGCATTTTTCTCTTCTAGTTCTAAATTGAAAGGTTTTCAACATTTTAGGCATGGAATACTGCTTTTTCTGGTTTATTTTTTCCTTATTACTTATTACCATCTGAAACATAACATGTTTTACGTATTTATGTGTCCACTCTTACTAAAATATGCATTGCTTGGGGGCAGAGAGTTTTGCCTACTTAGCTCATATCCCTAGCATCTGTAACAATGCCTGGCATATAGCAGGCAAACAATTTTTAAATGGAAAAAAAATCATTTGAGTGAATAGAGTTTCTAAACTTGTCTTTAAATAATAGAAAACAATGTCAATTATTTGAACTATCATAAAAATAATTCTCTAACTGTGAAAATTTCTGAACTATGCAGCTAAACAAAGACGTAAACTACAAATAAATAATTGCAGGCTTCCTATGTGGATTTCTCTCATTTTATGACTCTGACTTACTAAGAAATGAAGGTTAAATTAAAAAACAGGTTAACACAATTTTAAGAGATAGAAAGAATAGTGGTTGCCTGGAGCTGGGAGGAGGAAGAAATACAGAGTTAGTGTTTAATGGGTATTTCAGTTTGACATAATAAAAAAGTTCTAGAGATGGGCAGTTGTGATGGTTGCACAAGAATGTGAAATGTGCTTAAGTCCACGGAACTGTACATTTAAAATGGCTAAAATGATAAGTTTTATGTTGGATGTATTGTACCACAATTTTAAAAAGCTTCTCCAAATAAAAACAATTCAGGTGTGATTTTTGACATCCCCACCTCTGTGAAATTCATTCTGATCTAGACTAGAGCTGCATGAATTTTGTCTTCTTATAATCTGATGATTGTCCCCTTTTCCCTCTCACCACTGTTTTCTTTCCAAGGCAGATTCTATTTAGAATAAACTTAATTTCATTGTGAATTGTCTATGGTCTTCTCAGCACCCTGGTCTACAGCACTGGTTATCAAAGGATAGTCCTCTAACTAGCAGCATCAACTTCATTGTAAACTTGTTAGAGAAATTTTATGTCCAATTTCTATCCGTGGAATGATCAGACTAAGTCATATTCTTTGAATACTATCCTCCCAACAAACCCAATACTTCTTTTCTCCAAAACATGACACATAAATTGGAGAAATGTAGAATATATAATGGACTATTACAAATAAGTAAATTCTTGATAAATTTGCCAACACAATATGTGGAAGACATCTGTGAGATGCACTGGAAAATCTTTCATCTTCTGAACATCTGTGAGATAGAGAAAATTTTACTTTGCCAAAAAAATATAGGGAGCTGGCTTAAAATAAGATTTAGAGATTACAGACTGAAAATATCTTACAGTTTAAAGCAATCAGTCTGAGCTTTGTATATACACTGTAAGTATTAGAAACAAAAGATGCATGAAAGTGCACAAGTTACAAATAAAAAGTTGCACACTATCTGCTTTTACCTTTCCTCCCCCCAACCCCCGCCCCAATTACAACATGGTTTATTCATCTGCTCAATACTACTTACCACACGTAACGGTGCACATTCCAAATTCTACTTCTTTGACTACGTTCCTATTTGAAACTAAACATAAAGGGTAAAGATACATTATTTAATTATATGAAAACTTTTCTAAGTGAAACACCTCTTATTTGGAGATCAAAAACGTGTAACATATGGGAAGCAAATATTTTTTAAAATCAGAAAGCAGTGACATTCTTAGTACTGTTAATGTCTAAATCAAAAGAATCTCAAAGCTCTAAAGAAGTCCATCAAATCAGGAAATAACCTAATAGGAAGGTTTATATTTAAACTTTGTGTATACCTTAAAATTTTTTTCATCAGTTGACATATAGTGAGTTAAAATTTGATAAAGGGTCAAAAAAACACACAAAGGCCTATCAGTTCTAAAAACTAATTTTTTCCTATTCTCCATTTTCCAAAATTGAGAATATAATTTCCATTCAAAAAGAAGTCATTAACCAGCATTCATTAAAATGATAAAAGTTATAGATTAGTTCTACTCACTTCCCAGGTGAAGATGGTAAATTCAAATATTTCTAAGAATTTATTTCAACACTTTAGCAGGTTAGTATAGGAACATATCACTATTTAAGAAATTAAACTTTGTTGGTTCCAAATCATGTTTCTCTTTTTCTAATCATTCTCAAGTTTGGCATAGAATTCCACTAGCTATAGCATATAAGCAATTATTCAGCTTAAATTAGGACCAAAATCTCAATAGAAAAAAATATAAAGTGAGGTGTTAGAAGATGACTTTTTATTTTTTTAAATTTTAGAAGATGACTTTTAAAAGGCATTGTACCCTAGGACAACAAATCCATGGAAAACACATTGAACTGGAGTCCAAAGAGCTGCTTCTATCACTAATTAGCTGTTTGTGTTTGAGCAAATTAATTAAATGCCGTCAGGCTTAGTTAACCCTTCTGCAAAATTTGGAAAGGAAAATCCATCTCATTTGATTGTTGTAAGAATTAAATAGGATAATGTGTGTGAAAGCATTCTATAAACTGTTTAGTACTACAAACATACTTAAGATATAATTATCCAATTTAAACCCATTTTGTACTTAATAATATAATGCTAAGATTTTTTCCTATTTTGATTATAGTAAAACCTCAATAGTTTCATAAACACTTATATTCTGTACTTACAAGCACCAAATACAGTTTTTTGTTTTTGTTTTTATTTCTTTTTGAGACAGAGTCTATCTCACTCTGTTGCCCAGGCTGGAGTGCAGGGGCATGATCTCAGCTCACTGCAACCTCCACCTCCCAGGCTCAAGTGATTCTTATGCTTTAGCATCCTGAGTAGCTGAGAATATAGGCATGCACCACCACGCCCAGCTAATTTTTGTATTTTTAGTAGAGACAGGGTTTCACCATGTTGGCCAGGCTGGTCTCGAACTCCTGACCTCAAGTGATCCACCAGCCTCAGCCTCCCAAAGTGCTAGGATTACAGGTGTGAGACACTGTGCCCAGCCCCAAGATAGCTGAATACTCAGTAAGCACCTGATGCACATAAGTAAATCAATATTGACTTTATTAAGTCATTTCTTTAATAAAAATTTAAAAAGAACATCATGATTTAGACTATCATGATGATCCATTTTGAATTGTGGAATACTTAGACACCTTCTACTGGCACATTATGAGATACAAATTAAAAACCAAATCCTAAACACAGAAAGCAAGGATAACAGAATGAATGCTACACTACTTTTAAATATAAACTTTTTTTCAAAAACCGTTAGTCAATCACTACTTATTCTACTTTGGGAAAGTTGTTCAATTTCTTCCAACTCGTTTCCTTAAAGAAAAAAAAATGAGATTAAATAAAGTCTCTAAAGTCCCTTTCAGCTTTAATATTCTATGATATATTTAGTGTCCCTTAGATTACCCAGTAACTTTTTTAAAAAATGGGAATCCTACAATGGTGGGTCAGGAAAAATTTATGTAACTGATCTTCACTGTGGCATTTGTCAAAATTTCCTGTTACAAACCTATGAGTAGTAAGAAAATATATGATCTAAATGTCAATAAAGTTTTATGTGTAACTGTTTAAACTTTAAGACCACAGATGTTAATTAACTAGTTGGTATCAATATGGTAGGAGTGATGTGTCACAGGGCTCTGTCCTGTTCCACATTTTTATTAATGACCTGGAAAATGATGCTGTTATCATGCTGACTGAATCTAAAATTCTGCAAAGCTAGAAAGGATAGAAAATACATTTGATGATATATCTGGATCTAAATATGACAGAGTAAAATAATGGGCAGATCTAACAAAATGAAACTTTGCAGGAATAAAGTCCTTCACATACAACTGAAAAGTCAGCTGTCCAAAACTATTTTATGGGTTGTCTTAATTTGATAGGACAGTTAAAAATGAGTGGAGAATACAACAATGAATTCAATAGGAGTCAAATATGTGCTGAGGCTTCCCTAAAAATATACTGGGTCTTAGACTACACTAATAAAAGCCTGGCATCCACAGTGATGTGGATAATGATCTTGCTCTTTCAGCTGTGGCCAGGTCCTGAAATGTTGTCTTTAGTTCTGGACAGCACACAGTAACTCTGGGTTATCATCAAGGTACAAATTTTAGTTTTTCAGTTTCTGAGAATTGATTTGTTAGGCTGATATTTTATGACTTTTATCCTTCCTTAGAAGCATACCAAAGACAAAAGGAACATATATTTGTATAGGATAAAACCCATTGTATAGAATACAACTTTCTATTTTGCAATTATTGTGTAGGTCTATCAGACCCTTTTTATAAATCTAAGGCCATTCCTGTATAAAAGATATAAGATATATTTAAAAGGTATATTAAAGTGTATACAAGGCATAACAAAAGTATAAGGATATAAATCTAACATCTTAATGATTTTTTCTTTATCTTGAAACATTGTGATATTTCATCATCCATAATGATGGTATTACTCATTATTTTCAAGTACACTTTTTAAATGACTAAAATTTAAAAATGAAAGAATGATTGGAATTGCCTAGAAAACTAATGTAATTGTGAAATAATTACACTAACACAGGCTATTACAACATCCTGTGTTTTCATATTGCTTTGCCCAAGGTATTGCATCATCTTTCAAAATGTAAAAGAAGTCTAGAGGTATCCTCCTTGTAGTCTATTTTTGGCTTTTATTGAACACAGTTGAGATCTCACAATTTTTTATTTTTGGCTCATAATGGCAAAGAGCAGAAAACTGACAGAGAAAACCATTTCACAATTATTGAACAAATCAGAAGATGAAGAGACAGAAAACACTTTAGATGCTAATGATAATGAAATTAATTGTATAAGCAAAATCTCAATGAGATGATGATATCTTAGATGAATATACTAAATGAATTTCCTCTAACTTAAGAATTTATGTGTAAACATTACATTTCTGGGGATGAAAAGAATATATGGTATTATCATGTCATTAGCCTTTCAACAGGAAAGATTTGATCCTGAAATATAGTGTGACAGTAACTCATACCATACTGCTATGCTAAAAGGATGTGGACAATATTCTTTCTTTTTTATAATGGTTATGCAGCAACATTATTTGCCAAGGTTTGTAAATGAACATATTGTGATGAAAGATATGTATATAAAGGTGACTGAAAGAAAAGATTATGTAAAAATGAATAAAATTCATTGGATCAATCATTCTAATGGGTGTTTATAAATCTAAAGATGAAAATATTTTCCAATTATGAAGAAAAGATGGCTTTCTCTTTAACAAAATATGTGCCTTTGTAGTTTTCAAAGGTGTTGGTCTTTTTTTGACAAGTGCAAAAAGAACCAGGATTAATGATAAGCTAGAATCTATTAAAGACGCACTGAAAATCTGGAATCAGTATTAACATGATGAATGCATTCCAGGTTCATGCTTAATCACTGAACACTCAGTTGCACTCAAAGTACTTTGCCGAGGGTACATACACCTTCAAAACTAGGAGATATGGAATAAAAATTTGAATTTTTCCATGTTTAAATTCTTATTGAAATTTCTAACAAAGTTGTTTTCACTATTCCTTTATTCTTATTTGTAAACTATTTTTAAATGACTTAAAAACAATTTAAGGCTCCACTGAATAGTAAATGGGGATGTTTCTACTGATCTACTGAGGGTTAAGGGGACAGTGCAGGCCAGGCACAGTGGCTCATGCCTGTAACCCCAGCACTTTGGGAGGCTGAGGCAGGTGAATCTGGGAGGCTGAAGCAGATGAATGACGAGGTCAGGAGTTCAAGATCAGCCTGGCCAAGATGGTGAAACCCCGTCTCTACTAAAAATACAAAAATGAGCCAGGCACAGTGGCAAGCGCCTGTAATCCCAGCTATCCAGGAGGCTGAGGCAGGAGAATCACTTGAACCCCATGGGGCAGAGGTTGCAGTGAGCTGAGATTGTGCCACTGCACTCCAGTCTGGGAGACAGAGTGAGACTCCATCTCAAAAAAAAGGGGCAGGGGGTGCAGTGGCGATAGGACAGTACAAATTTCAATAATGGTCCTGGAAATTTTCAAACCTCTAACACCTCAGATGTTTAAAGTTTTGGATTCTTACTCTCCCCAGGAAAAAGCACCTATGCATGGAATTGTATGTACTAAATCCCAGAAAGTAATGGATTCCTTGAAGTCCGTAAAAGAGAAAACTGAGACTCTGCAAGGATAAGTAACTAACCTACATTTTAATTTGAATGTAAGACATTGTAAGTTTATTGTCTGAGGTTAGCCTAATATTTAGCATTTTATAGCCAGAAGTATTTCTTGACCAGTTTAATACTAAAATTGTTAATCCAATTACTTTAAAGAGAATGAAGCAATAGCTACTATGCTTTAGAACATGTTCTCGTCTTTCCTAGTCATCTTTCTTTTTCACATTTCCGAAGTCAAGGATCTTTTTAAGCTCTCTGTATTGTAATGTTACAAGGCCGTGCTAACCTCGATCCCACTATTAACCTCAAGACAGTCCATTTCTTTCTGTTGGTGCTGAGGGTCAATATCAGGAAATAAAAGAAAGGCTAGCAAACATAGTAGTCACTCTGTATGTACAGACTAAAGAGATGTGAGAATGCAAACGATATTAAAAGAACCTCAAGTGGGTCATTTACAAGGGAAGGGAATCATCCTTCTTGAGAAGGCAGCAAACTTGCAGCTGACCTTGTACCTGCTAGAATGTGAGTTACTAATCAATATGACATGTACAACAGCTTGTCAAGTTTTATTACTTAATGAGCCAGCAGAAAAAAAGCAAATGTATGTACCAAGCAGAAGTTCATTGTTCCTTTGGTTAACATGTAGCATCTAACAAAGCCACTAGCTGGATCCCTTAACAGGTGTTTTCTACTGCTCCCTTCCTTTGTCTGAGGCTGCACATACCAACTGAACACCACGATGCAGAGGTGCTCAAGACAAGGAGCTGCAGGAAGCTGCTATGGGGCTTCTGAGCAGCTTTGTCGACACACTGGGCTATCTAGATGTGTCATCGTAAAGGGGGATTCTGAATTCCATTGCACCTCCAAGTGCAAATGTGGAAATCAAGCAATGTGGAACTTGGGGGGGAAATCTACTATGGAAAGGGAAAATGACTGCAAGAGGAGTCAAAATTAATCCTCTTGGTGGAAGCCTACCTCCAACCCTTAAAAAATATATTTTTTCCCTTGTCCAAAGCAATATTTAGAAGTATTTCCATAGCAATTTCTACATACGTGCTTATCTGTGTATCTTGCTGTGGCCTGGGAGAATGAACACATTCTTCTCCAAAGCCTTAAGATGCAAGAAACAGACAAACTCCGGGATGAGGCATGCGAGAGAGCTCTCTGGACGTTAACACGGATAATTCTCCCTGTTTTCTGGCAAAGAGCAGGCCTTCGCTCCGTCAAGAGAGGCCTCCGCCTGCCCGCCAAGGGGGCTCCCGCCCTCACCATCCTCCTCGGTTTCAGGTGCGGCGTCGTTCTCCGCGGTCTCGCTGTCGTTGTTCTCCATCTCCTCCTCGCCCTCGCCCGGGCCTTCGTGAGCTAGGCCGGCATCCGGGACGGCGGCGGTGACGTTGGTCCCTCTCGCGGACGGGAGGCCCGCCAGGAGCAGCCAGCCGACTGTCAGCAGCAGCCCGACGGAGCAGCCCGTGCCCCCGGGGCTCATGGTTCTCGGCCCCGAAGGCCGTCCGAGGCGCAGTTCAGCCGCGTCTCCTGAGAGCAGGTGCGTCCAAGAGAGGTGCGACGCCCCGCCCGCAGCCACCTGGCTCCGAATCCCCCGTAGCGCCCAGGCAACCATTGAGGCGTCACGGTTTGTCACCACCTTCCGTCCGCGAGGCCGCGCCGGATTTGGGCGCCTGGAACACGCGCGGAGCTGGGCGGCAGGGGGCGCAAGCCGGAACGCGACGAGGAGCCGCGTGCGTCAGGCCCCTAGGAGGCGATGGCGCCCTTCCCCGCAACCGGAAGTTCCTGCCCAGGGCACTTCCTCCGGCCTTCTCGGTGTGCTCCCTCTGCCTCAGCTGATGGAGGGACCCTTCAGCCTCTTCTTTCACCCTGCCTGCTTTCGTCTAAGACTTTTTTTTTTTTCCATACATTATGTTTACCCTTCCTCAAACTAGACTTCTTAGCCCTCACATACTCTGCGTGACTTGGTTTCAAAATTTCTTATCCAGAATATCCAATTTGGGATGTATTGAGAAGGACTTGATTTCTTCCTTGGGATTAGAATAATAGACTTTGAGTAGGAAGAAATTTAGAAATCATCTGATAATCCAGACCCCTCATTTTTAAGTGAGTAGATTAAGAATCAGAGAGATTAAATGACTCACCCAAAACCATCCTGCAAATTATTTACCAAGCTGGAGTTCACAGCCACATCTCCTGAGTGCTCTCTTGATGATCAGTAATTCTTATGATTCAAGGTTAACAACAAAGAGGCTTTTAGTGGGGGTGATTGGGAGTTCAAGTGCTGAAAAGTTAGGGTTGACTTTTTGATTCTGTTATTACAAATTTTATCTCATCTAGTAGTCACAATATAGTTGTTTGTTGTTGTTTTTGAAAAGAAACATAGGGTGTCATACTTTGAGGCTTAATGTTTAAATTCCTATGACAACTGAGATGGAAGTGAACTTGCATATACTCTGGCTTTGGGGATATTTGAATATCTCGTCTCAGCAGACGTAACAGATAAGCAGGTAACAGAAAAGTATTAAGAGATTCTTCAGAGGCACTTATTTGTAACAAAATAGGTTGTTTGAAGCAGAAGTTGAAATTTTTTTATTTGAACATTTTCTCCGGCAAAGGCTTCTAGTTTTGAAAACACAAGGACTGCTAAACATCCTCGGTATTAAGGTTCGAATTATTATTGGTGAGAAGTCTCTGGCACTTGACAAGATTATCAAGGACATTAACATGGGAAATTTAGAGATGATCTTGAGAAGTAAAGGCCTTTGTTCATGTCTAAATAAGTCAAAATTTTTCTGTTTTGAATCCTGAGAAAAATAAGTAAAAAATTATGTCATCAAACACAAACTTTAAAAAGATGATATATAATATTGTCACTGGCAAATTGTTGAGTGTTTCAAAGTCAATTTTAGGATCCATTGCTTCCTGAATATAGTATCCTTTTTGAGCAGAGAAAGTCCTATAAACTCTAAAGTATGTAATTTGACTCAATGAAACATGAATAATCTCATAAATAAACAGTTCCAAGGGGAGTCCAAAAAACCTGAAAGATTTAACACCGAAATAAAGATTATTGTCTCTAATAACAGCAATATAAATCACCTATAAAACAGTGTTACTCATATAAGTTATAAGAAAAAGTATAACATCTGTCCTCAGCAAACTTTTACTGTCTCTCTAATACTCTCTCTAACCACAAATAAATGAAAATAAGTGTTTAGCCAGAAGGGAGGTCACAGAATCTAGAGGAACTGACCCTACTGTGACCTGCAGAGTAGGAATTCCACCCTCAATCCCTGATATGCTCCCCTGACCCAACTCATCGTGCTAGGAACTAAGCATTTCCACTCCCATCTCCAATTTCCAAGGGGTGGGGATTAGAGCCCAAATTCCTCTGCCCCACTCTGCCCAAACATAGCTCACCTATCCTGGTCTGACCTTGCTTTGATTGGCCTCATTTGGCATGCAAGAAAATCATTCCTCTATCCAGTCTCTGCACTACCTACCCTTGAAGACTTTGTATTCTGAAAAGGAAGACCAATTTGTGTGTGTGTGTGTGACATAAGCACAAGATAATCAAGGCCTGAATAAAGGATCACCATAAAAGTGAAAAGAGACATGAATGTGAGAGAAATAACAAAGGAAGGATTAACGAAATAGAATGACTGGCTGCCTAGGCTGGATGAGGGAGGGAGAGAGGGAGCAAATAAAGGGAATTAGGAAAGTCAGTGAATATTTAAGCAGGTTACGTTGCAGGTATCAACAGAAGTCAAGTGTAAACATACAGTGGGCAACCTGAGATGACCACATACCCAAAATAAGATGAAAACCACTGATACATGCCACAAGCATGAAAAATACACACACACACACACACACACACACACTCAGTTAATATAATGTTCTAAGTACTGCTGTAACATTAGAAACTTTACAGTGATATTTATGAAGATAATTGGCATATAAAATTGATTTTGGCTTTAATATGCTTGATTTGGTAAAAAGCATTCTCCATAGTAATCCCCCAGAGAGAAGGCTCTCAAAGCACTCTTGCCATGTTTATAACCTTTAGAGGAAAAGAGGTTTCTCTTTCTGGAGCAAGATCCCAGAAGCAGGATTTCTCCCCTGGCTTTCTGTTTCACACCTCTACCTCTGTTGTGTCCTCATTCTCTGTCAGTCGTTTAAAACTGTATTGCTACACAATGGAAGAATTTTGTGGTAGAAATGGAAAACCAAATACTGGATGTTCTCATTTATGAGTAGGAGCGAAGTTATGGAAAGACAAATGCATGTAGAGTGGTATGATGGACATTGAAGACTCAGAAAGGGGGATGGGGTGTTAAAAATTACCTATTGGTACAATGTACACTATTTGGGTTATGGGGACACTTAAAGCCCAGAGTTCACCACTATACAATTCATCCATGTGGACAAAAACCACTTGTGTCCCTAGAGCTATTGAAATAAATTTTCTTAAAAAAAGAAAACATAAAAAAATAACAAAGTATACACTTTGAGGAGTTAGAAGTTTTAACATATATATATATATATATATATATATATATATATATATATACACCTATAAAACCATCACCACAATCAAGATAGTGAAAATATCTGTCATACCAATAAGGTTCCTCTTCCCCTTCTCCTCCTTATATCTCCATCCTTGTCCCGAGGCAACTACTGATCTACAAGAGAACATTTTATGGAGAGAACACTACTCCTCCATTAACACGTGTAAATTCTTATTGCCTTAAGATCTTCAGAGGGGCAGGGCCTTCGTAGGCAGCTACGTTAGAGTTTTACGTCAGTGGAATCACACAATATATATTCTTTTGTGTCTGGCTTCCTTCAGTCAGCCACATTGAGATTCATCTCTGTTGTCATGTGTGTTAACAGTTAATCCCTTTATATTACTGAGTAGTGTTTCATTTGATGGATAATATCACAATTTGTTTTTCCATTCACCTTTTAGTGTCCTTTTGGGAATGTTTCCAATATGGGCTTGTAATGTTTAGAATGTTTACATCTACTCAAGAATATTGATTGGTTTCTAAAAACTAAGGATATTGGTTGATAGTTTTTCTGTAATATCTTTGTCTAATTTTGGTATCACTGCAATGCTGGCTTCATAGAATGAATCATGGTATATTCTCTCCTCTGCCATTTTTTGGACAAGTTTGTGTAGAGTTGGTCCTTTGCTTCTTTAAATGTTTGGTATAATTCACGTATGAATTACTGTCCTGAATTTTTCTTTATGAGAATTTTACCTACAAATTCCATTTCTTTAATATACCTAAGGGTGTTGAGGTTATCTGTTTCTTCTAGAGTGAGGTTTGGTAGTTTGTACCTTCCATGGAATTTATACATTTCATCTAAATTATAAAATTTATAGTGATAACAGTGTTCATAATCTTATTATCCACTTAATACCTGTAGAAACTATAGTGACATTATCTCTACAATTTTTGATGTTGGTAATCTATGCCTTCTCTTTTAGCCTGGCTAAAGGTTTATCAAGTTTATTGATATACTCTCAAAGAACTGACTTTTGATTTCAGTTACTCTATTGTTTTTATGTTTTCTAGCTTATTAATATCTGCTTTAATTTGTATTCCCTTTTCTCTGCCTACTTTAGTTTTAATTTGCTCTTCTTTCTCTAATTCCTTACAATGGAAGATGAGGTTGTCGATTTGAGATTTTTCTTATTTTTTAAATATAGGCATTAAGTGTTATACATTTCTTCCTAAGTACTATTTTAACATTAGCCCACAGTTTCTGATATGCTGTGATTTAATTTTCATTCAATTGAAAATATTGTTTAATTTTCATTTTGACTCTTTTTGATCCATGGGTTATTTTAAAATGTGGCATTTAGTTTCCAAATATTTCTTAATTTTACAGATAATTAAATTTCTGCTTTAATTGTATTATGGTCATAGAATAAACTTTGTAAGACTTGAATCCTTTTAAATTTATTGAGATTGGTTTTATGGCCTAGAATATGGTCTGTATTAGTAAATGTTTCATGTGTACTTGAAAAGAATGTGTATTCTGCTCTTGTTGAGTGGAGTGTTCTATAAACGCCAGTTAGGTCAAGTTAGTTGATAATGTTGTCAAGTTAACTATATCCTTGCTGATTTTATGTCTGGGTCTATCAATTGTTCAAAGAGAGATATTAAAATCTCCAACTATAATTGTGAATTTTTCTTTTTTTTTTCTTTTTTTTTTGCAGCTCTATCCATTTTAGCCTCATATATTTTGAAGCTCTGTTATTAGGGGCATATGTATTTAAGATCTTAATGTTCTCATGATTAATGATCTCTTTATCTTATGAAATAACCTGTTTTATCCATGGTAATATTCTTTTCTTTGAAATATATGTTTTTATATTAAAATAATCCATCCATTTTTGTTTTTTTAAACTGTTAGTATAGTATATATTTTCTTTCCATTACTTTTTTTTTTTTTTTTTTTTTTTTTTTTTTTTTTTTTTTTTTTTTTGAGATGGAGTCTTGCTCTGTTGCCCAGGCTGGAGTGCAGTGGCATGATAGTTCACCGCATCCTCCACCTCCTGGATTCAAG